CGGGACTCGGCCTTGACTGTAACTGGAGAAAGGCTCTGGCAGAGCTGCCGGGCAACCCAGGATGCCCTGCCCGCCCTCGCTGTGCCGGGACGGAACACGGACCAGCCTCTGAGAGCGATCCAGTGGGTGCAGAGCCGTGGGCTGCGTTCCCCAGCGGCTGCGTCAGAGCCCAGGCAGAGGAAGCCCTCCTCAGGGCTCCCCGCGGGCGGCACAGGAGGCCAGGGCTGGCCTGTGGCTGGGGGGTGGCACCAGGGCCCACGGGCCTTCAGTGCCCAAGGGCCTTTGTCCCCCAGGCTGCCCCATCTCCTCGCAGGCGCCCTGCGCACAGCACACAGGATGCACGGGAACGGCACATTCACCTGCAGACGGAGCTCTGGTGCGGCGGCCCTGGCGCTCCTGGGGTTGGGTCCCGAGTTCCCAGGGGCCCTGCCTGCCTCGGGCCTCCTCCTGGCCCGTGTGCTCCATCAACCCTCCGTCCCCTCCTCCTCGGCCCCTGCCACACCCTCCCCATGTGGCATCTGCACCCCTTGGTCCCTCTGTCTGAATGCTCTTGGCAAGCCGGCCACCAGCCCCAGCCCCAGCCCCGGCCCCGTGGAGTGCCCTTCTCCCTGCCCGAGCCTCACTCAGCAGGCTTCCTCGTGGGCTGCTCCCGAGAGCTATGCCCATCAGTCAGAAGCCGCAGCGGCCCCATCGGGGCAGGAGCTCACCCGGCTTTGGGACGGCCGGAGCGACAGTTCGGAGAACCTCTGGGCCACGTTTCTAGACGGAAGGGAACGGAGTGGCTTTGCTGGGAAGGGCCTTTGCCCCTGAAGACGGGAAATGTCTGTTCCGATCCAACGCAGCTGCTCCGTTAGCTCCCCAGAGCCGTGGGAGAAGGGCAGTAACTTCAGCATCGGAGGAAACCGCGCAGTGGCCGCGAATGAGCTCTAAGCAGCTATTTTAGATCCTGGTCATGAATAAGACATGACCATTCATATTAGGGGCTCCTGTGTGTGAATGCTCCGCATGGCAAGAGCCTGCAGACCTTGGCGCCCCTGCGAGGTCCGGCCCAGCAGGACCCGCCGGCTCTCAGCATCCTGCACACAGACCCCGTGACTTCCCATGGGAACCCCGTGCCTGCCGACGGCTGAAACACTGCCATCGGGAAAGGGAAGTCTGGCCGGGGCAGGGCGGGGGGTGTGGGATGGGGTGTAAGAAGAGGCGATTCCTATCAGGGAGACAGTTTCCAAGCAAAAATGCCGGGCATGGAGGACGCCTTCGCACCAGCTATGCAACACCTCTACGTCAGGGTGGGTGAGAAACGGAGGCGCAAAGGTGATTTCTCAACACAGTGGGTGACGGAGCAGGAGGGAGGCGCTTGGGGTGCTGGGCTGTGCTTGGGCTAAACCCTAAGTCATGCTCTGCAGCTCACAGGACGGCTTCGAGTGCTCAGGGCGGTCCCTATGGCGTCTGGTGGTAGTAAGTGCGTGGTAAGCGTTAGCCAGGTTACTCTTATGTGACGAGTGGTCACCAGTTCCATAAACACCCCCTGGGCAGACTCCAGGGCATCCCCGAGCGCCTCTGAGTGGACATGAACGAGCAGTCATTCCCGTCACTCTCCGGAGGGAAACCTCACAGCAAAGGGAAGGGTCCTCTGCCGGCCCTGCTCTCCTCGTCCACTGGGAGGAGCCGCGCAGGGCAGAGCCCGAAGGGACGGCGAAACCTGCTAAGATTCTTACCCTGAAACAACCCACAGGACTTGAGAGGGAGCTCACCGCGGTCCCAGGCTAACGAGGCCATAACGCCAAGTCCAGGTGCCCGCTCTCAGGAGGGGGCAGTTACTATCCTGAGTTCACAGCATCGGGTTGGAGCAGTGGTGTAAAGGGTAGGGACCGGTGGCTTCTCCGCACACCATCTGAGAAATTCACCTACGTCATCGAGGGTCCTCGGTGGCCGTGGCACCGGGAAGAAGGGCGTTGCTTCAGGAAAGCTGACGCGTTCAGCAGTCCCCACAGGGCGTTTTGGTGAAAACCGCGCACCACCACGAGGCGGGAGGGCACATGTTTGTGTACATTTAAGTAGATTTTTAAAATCTAGAAGGGTCTACAACAAAGCGTTAAAAGGTTGCTCTCGAGGTGAATTGCGGGTGATTTTTACTTTTTAAGAATTCTATTTTGGTGTGACCTAACGCTTCTGCAATGTGGGACCTGTATTACTTTATAGTCAGGAAAGAATCATAAAGTGATTTCTCTCAGAACAGATCAGCACTAACTCCCCACTAGCAAGCGGCCTCATCGGTTTGAATGACAGGTCCCAGGGCAGCCTTGGAGGGCTGGATTGTGACTAGCTTAGCCAGGAGTGAACAGGAAGGCAGCTGTTACAGAAGCCACCAGGTAGCATCCCCAAGATACGCAGGAAATGACCATGATGCAGTGGGGAACCCGCCCGCACGCATTACACGTCCCGTGATTCTCTGACGTTGCCCATCGTGAAAACAAGGCCCAGCACAGCTCTCTGGAGCCCACAGCAGTTTCCTTCTGGAAGCGCGCCCGCGGCGCTGGGCCTGGCAATTAGACGGAAATGCGAGACGCGGCCGGCCGGGAAGCGCAGCCCCTGGAGGCCTGCGTGGTGGGCTCACTGACGCGCGCTGCGGTCCATCAGCTCAGCCTCTCAGAGCTTCCACTTGGCTTCTGCTTAAAAGCCACGGGAGTGTCTGTGCGCTGGGCAGGGGCTGAGCCTCCAGGTGACTGTGTCCAGGGAGGAGGAGGTCTGTTCCAGTCATCTAAGCGTCGCTCAGGGGCTGTGCGGGCCCAGGGGGCAGAGGCAGGAGCCCCCTGGTCTGAGGCACATGGTACATCTGGGGATGCCCTGGGCCACCTGGAAAACCGGGTGACATAACAGACTGCGCCCACACCCCATGGCAGACCCCCGGCCCGAGGCAAGAGTGCCAGCACCCCATCTCCCCACCAGTAGAGTCAGCGCCGCACGTGCTGGTTCAGAAAGGCTCAGAGGCCCCTGCTAGACAAGGAGGCCAAGTGGCCGGTGGGCGCGGGCTCTGCTCGGCTCTTCCCCTTCCCTGTCCCCCTCCTGCCCCAGTAGCCTCATTTCACGAGCTAGAGCTGGAGGCGTTTCAACTAGACAGCGACGCCACTTGTGAGCTTCTCACAGCTGGTGGTTCAGGAAGTCGCTCTGCGCCGTCACCTCACAGCTCTGCGTGCGCACGGCGCCCCGGGGGCACTTCCCTCTGAAGGGGAGGCAGGTCCTGCCCGAGCGGGGCCTCCGTGGGCACCTGACGGGATCGCTGCAGGCGCCATGTCTCCTGGTTGAGAACTAAGACAGCGACCCACACGCCTGCCTCGTCACACTGACGACACACAGACGCGCCGTCGGTCTCAGCCCCGATGATCGCCATCTGCGCTGTATTCCCGAGGCCGAGGAAACATGTCCGGTGCTGTACAGATCTCTCTCTCTATGGCTTGCCACACGGATGAGCCATTTCAACTGCTTTTCTCCAGGTCGCGGGCCTTGTAGTCGCGGTTTCCGGGGAGAAACGCATTCTCAGCGGAAGCGCTGTTTGCTGTGGGTCAGCCACCCTCCCCTCTATCACTCAGGAAACCGAACACGGCGGGTTGTGTCACGCACCCACAGGACACGTTCACATGACCCTCCGTGGGGTCGGAGATGAGGGGCATCACAGAGAAAAGGGTTCCTCCCTGTGACGGATGTGGAGGCGCTCTGCCCGGCCCCCCGGCCCGGTGGGCAGCACCGCAACTCAGCAAGGCAGGCGGCAGGGAGAAGTTGCCGCCTCCCACAGGCCGGCGACAAAGGGGCCCACTCTCGTTCCTTCAGGAGTTAAACGGGGACAGGAGAGATCTCTGAAATGACTGCCCACCAGCAGCCCACCCAGACCCACTCCACGGCCACTTAACTTGGTAACTGCATACCGAGGGGCACCTCACGCTGTTTCCATTGGGCCTTTATTTCTACGGGACAGCAGCTTGCGGACCAACACTTTTTAAAGATAAGCCCATTCTGTGAAGAGGCATTTACCTAGATGGTCATTTCCTAGAACTGCTCGGACGGCGTCAGCATGTCCACCTACGGCTGGGGGCCCCTCGGACCTGCCATCAGCGGCCGACAGTCCCGGCAGGGATGAGTCACCTGCTTCCGTGTCCTCTCCGTGACTTCCTGTGCCGTGAGGGGTGAGTCAGGCACGTTTTCCAGGTGACATTTCAGCCCGACTCCCCTGAGGTTCTCTCCACTCACTGGTTCTTTGTGATGTCAGGGAGGGAGAGAACTCCCAGATCCCCCCATTCTCGTTCTTCAGTGAATCGCACACGAAGTACCAGGGGAGGAGAACAACTCCCCACAAAACCCGGGTAAGAAGGCCTGCTGTTCAGAATGATCGAGGCAGCTGAGGTCCGGACGAAGACGGGAGGGACGCATGGTGCGAAGGTGCTGTGTGTGGGGGTTTTAAAAATGTTTCTATTGATTTGAGAGAGGAAGATAGAAACATCCATCAGCTGCCTCCTACACGCCCCCTACTGGGGATCGAGCTGGCAACCCGGGCACGTGCCCTGACCGGGGATCGAGCCACTGACCTTTGGTTCATGGTCGATGCTCAACCACTGAGCACACGGCTGGGCTGGGGGTGCCGTTTTAGAGTTTGCCGTGGCAACCAGACTTGGGCCGTCGTCTCAGGTACATGAGCCGTTAGACATGAGCTCAGCAC